TTTGTCTTTAATTCCACTAGTTTTTCTTTTGACCTAATCCCAGGTGCTTGATGAGTTTTGAGGAAATTGAAGTAAGAGGTTTTTCAGTGATAACTACAAAATGAAATCACCATTGCAGTGTGCTCTGTACTTACTTGTTCTGTGGCCAAGCAGGGTCTCTAGTGAATACCTGAAACTGGAATACCAGGAGGGCTTATGGGCACCTATGGTGTTATTCGGGACCCGGCACACTTCTCTACTCCATCCATTGCAAATAATGCTCTGATGTATTATTTGGTGACTGTTTTTGAAAAGAAGGATGGCAGGAAAGTGTGCTGCTGTCTCATTCATTATTCAGCATCTGTCTGGTGTTATCTGTATTTTTACTTTTATGATGTACATGTAAGAACTGGGTAAAAGGCTTGTGTTTCTGGAGGGAAATGACAGTATTCACTGCCAGTGAGTTTGCTCTGTAGTGTTAATGTTTTTGAACATGGTCTATTACTTTGTGGATATATGCTTGGTGTTGACAAGGTATTGAATGCAGCTCTGAATTTGCTCGATAGTAATATAATGTAAATGTAAATCAGTTCATGTAGAGACAGAGCTATTTAAGAAATTGCAGGGTTTTTTTGATTTCCATTTAAAAAAAAAAACCACAAACGAAAACAAAATAGAATAGTGTGCTTCCCGTTTTACTGACTTAGCAACAGTGCCTCTGTTTTTCATTAATGACCTGTAAGCCTTATAGCACCTCTCCTAGGCAATATATCATGTTGCCTCCTTTTTCATCTCCCAGTGAGCATATTCCGTTTTCTTAAGCTTGTGTGTACAAAACTGAATTTAGTGTTTCAACCACATGAAGTTCAGTGTGATTTTAGTGCAGTTTCTCCAAGATGTTATGTGTTGTAATTTGAGCCCAAGGGTTTGCTTGCTCTTTGAATCAGTAAAGAAATCAAACAAGCAAAAGGTATCCTTCTGCCTCAAATCTCTAAGGATGTGCAGTTGCCTAAAGAGAAGCCCAGATGCCACCTGTGTTAAAAATGTTTCTCTTCTTTTAAAAGATATAGATCTCTGAGCTAAATTCAGTAGTGCTGTAACATCCTGAATAGAATCAGACTGTGACCAGTGGGATGTGTGTTTGTCTCCTGGACTAGCATGTGAGCATAGGCATATTTCTTGAGTTACAGAGAAAAAGAGAAGTATATGTGAATTACTCTTCAGAGGCTTGTAAAGCCATATAAAAATTTATGGGCTTGCTACATTATTCAAGGTACATAATTTTATTACAAATCTGAGCAACACATGGGACAGTTGTTTTATTGTTATTGTCATATTTTACAGAATTAATATTTTACAAAGAAGATTTTACTGCATGTATTTTTTTTAAAAATTACAGGACAATTTTTTCAAAAAATGTCAGTCTAAGCTTATTTCTTAAGGAAAGCAGAATTTTATACACAGGCAAAAGTAATCTCTTTGTATCATAGTATAAACACCATTACTGAGTAAATGACTGAAAGAATCTTACAGTCTGATCCAGTACTCTTCTGTTGTTAGCACCCTACTTGGAGTAGAGATGTAGGATGCTAGAAAATGATAATAGAGGTATGCCTAAAAATACAAGACAATTTCTCTCTAATAGCAAAACAACCATCTTATTATATAGTAGATTATAATATTCACTACCAAAACAGAAGATTAAATATTTTGGCTATCCACAGAAGCAGTTCTCTTTCTGGTCCCATGTTTAAACTCATTTAGTTTGTCAATGGTTTATGCTTTAAAAAAAAAAAAAAGAAAGAAAAGTTTGAGGCTTAGATATTTGGGGATTTGATCTTTAAATTAGGAACTTAAAGTGATCCATTTGTACTTGTCGCTGCTGTTTCATTACCCATTCCACTGCTTCCATAGTGTGGGCGGAATATTCCTTCATGAAGCTGAAACTCGCTGTCTTTTCTCAAAGACCCTAATGAAGATAAATCATGCAGTCAGCAGTTGTTTTCTTTCCAAGAATTCTTCTTAATTTTGCATATTGTGGATGGTTACTGCTACATTAGATGTCTTTTTTTTCCTTTGAGTGCAGTGATCCAAAATCAAGCAAATAAGAGCTACAGGATGTGGAAGAGTGCTGCACAACTTTGTTTATAGCCTAACGAAAGCAACCTTTCCATAAGCTGACATTTGGTTATGTGGGACATACAACAGACCTGTAGTCTGCTGTAGGGTTGCTGAATCATTCATGCTGGAATCCCTTTGCCCATCACTACTCTGGGCATGAATGGTACATCTGCACAGCTAGAAGGGCTTTTCCATCCATAATGCTTTGAACAAGGGAATTCTAGAGTCAGGAGCAGTTGGTAACTACCACGAAGTGCTTGCATGTCTGATGATGTCCTGAAAAATCAGCCTCACCAGACCCCCTTGGAGCTTGGGGTCTCTGTAAGTCGAACTGCATTTCTTACAGATGGGAAAAAACTCCGCACCTGACCTACAACCTAGTTTAAATTCTCATCTGTACAATGTTTTTAGAGTGAAAATTGAGGTTCTGACTGAATAAGAAGCTGGCACTATGTTGAACTAATTACATTTAGTACTGAGTTAGATCATACTTACCTGAAAGACATGATCTGAAGTCACTAAGCTTAGTTGTTTGTAGTTTGGATAGTTTCCAGGCCATGTCTAGTCCAAGACAGTAGTGTAAGAAAATCTCTTTAATTTGTGATTGAAATGCGTTTCTCTCTGAATGTTACCAAGCCTGGACTCCGTGACAGAGTAGGTTTATCTTCTAATTAAATTACTGGGAGAGAGCCATGGTTTCTGTTTTGACTTTCTCCATAGGATGTGGTTGCCTAGCTTGTCCTGCTAGTAGATAGTGTATCCATTAATAAAGAACAGGATTGTATCTTGTGTTAACAAGCTCATTTCTCTTTACTGCCATGTATTAGAAGAAACCTGGCCCCTTGCACAAATTTTTTCACAGCTCCCCTGGACAACGCAGAATCCAAACTTCCTCTGTTGCATTAAGATGGGATGTCTGTGCCACATGGCTTTTGCCAGGTGTGCTGGCTGAGTTCTAAAGTCTTCTGCCTCTAAGAGCAACCAGTAGTGGATGTTTGGGGAGCAGGATGGTCACCAGGTCAGAGACTGTGTGGTATCTACCTGATTATGGCCCCCCAGCTTCTAGCATTCACTGGTTTATGGACTGTTGGAGAAGGAGGAAGCACAGCATCTAATACCCCTTCCATATTAATCTTGTGTTAATTCATCTAACCACTTTTTTATTTCATTCGGGCTTTTAACCTCTGTATTGCTGGGGTGGCAATGAATTTTGTAACTCATTACATGGTCTGTGTAAAAGTACTGCTTCTTGTTTTCTGCTGCTTCTAAATCTCCCCCCCCGGTAATCTCTATGGATTCCCACTAGTTCCTGTATTATGAGAATTAGTAAATAATACCTGTCTTTCCGCCTTCTCTGTGCTATTTGTGATTTATAGGCCACTGTCAAATTCCCTTTCTTCCCCTGACTGAAAAGTCATGTTCTGTTTACTCTTAGCTCATACAAAACTATGCCATTCAAAATTCTGTATAAGCAGTTGTGGTAATTGAAAGAGGTAAATTAAACATACACCTGGGCACAGAGACTTAGAAGCACTGAGAATTTGTGGCTAGAGCTGAAAGTATTGGAAGGCATCTTCAGGCTGAAAATCAGGGCCTTGGTGTAGAGATGTAGAGAGATCAAAAAGGATACTCAGCTATGCCTGAGATGGAGAATAACATCAAGCCATGTGATAGGCATTTTGCAAATCTCTGCTTCATTCAAATGCTGCAAAATATTTATTGTCCATGCTGAATATAAGCAACCAGGCTTTCTGAAATGATCACCCCAACAAATTACTGTACAGTAACTTGAAGTATACTTAGTTTTACCCTCCAAAGACCAAGGACAATACTGCTGCCATTTTGTTCTAGCACAAGAATTTTTGAGAGTTAGGGATTTTGAATCCAAAACCCAAAGACTTTGGTGCTGCAAATGGACTGTCTATTCCTGTACCCCAGGAACTGAGAGTCTGCTGAAGGGGAATGTTTTTAGGAGCAAAGCTATTCATTTACAAGTCTCAAATTATCTTCAATAGCATGCTCAGCCAAATCTTAAAAAGAATACAAGTACACATTAATTAAGAATTAACATAATTCTGTTCCTTGAGTATGGTGTTTATTAAAATATAAATTCTGTGAACATACACTTGAGAGGAAGCTTCTAAATATTTTTAAAAGCTTAATTTTCAGTCACCCTTTATTTATTTTTTTCATTAAGATAGAAGAAAGAAGATGGTACTTGACTTTCTGAAACTTTCCATTTGCTTCTCAGATATAGCATCAAAAAGTTGCTGAGTGTCCTTAATGCTGCTGATGGTGCAAAACCCAGAATGATTTAGATTTATATGAAAAGCAGACATGGGATGACATTTTCAAAAGCCCCTGAAAGCCACATTTGTGAAGCTGTTCAGACAATTAAAGGAGCAAGAAAATATGCAAAGAGATTTTTCAGGCATATGTGCTGACCATTAATGCAGTTTTCACATTTATTTTTGAGAAGTTTACATTCTTAGGCATTTAAATGTTTTTAGAAATGTGGCTGTTTGTTGTAGTACCACAAATGAGTTTTTCAGAAATAATTCTTATGATGGAAGACCCAAGTGTCTGGTCACTTCCACCACTGTTTGGAAAATAGGATTTAACCTTTGTCCTGCCACACCAAGCAGCGTAACGCCTAAATACTCCTGTAAGTGTCAGTGGACGGTCCCTCGGTAGTAACCTGAGCTCTCACACCACCTCATAGTTAGCCACGCTGTTTGGAAATACTAATGGTCTGCAGGAGGCTTTGCACCCCAGAAAGCATCTTTCTCTAGGCTTGCTGGTATGGGAAATGCACAGCACAACAGGGACCAGGTTGTGTTCCACTTTGCCCTCCCTGTCTGTTTTTCTGATGATTTACTGAACCTCTTTGTGTTTTTCAGAATGCCAAAGCCAGCTACGACTTCAGCAGTAATGATCCCTACCCCTACCCTCGCTATACAGATGACTGGTTTAACAGGTAAATGGGTTTTGATCAACCTGCTCTTTGCTTTGGTTTGGTTAAGAAATTGTAAGTATTTGCTGGTATTTGTGAAATGTCTGGTTTTTGCTAAAATTCTGTGGTTGCCAAAACATAAGCTGCAGTCTCACTACTGCATTTTATGGTTTATAAAGTGGCTACTTCAGAAGAGTATATATGTAGATTTTTTGAATGGGTGATAGCCACATACCATTTTCCATCAGCTGTCCTAGGACATCACAGTATCCCAAATCTATGTATGCTTAATGCAGTTTTAGTTGGTTTTCCATGTACTGTGTCTGAGGCAGTATCACTGCTAGCTAATTTTAAAGGGGGGAAGTTGGAGACAGGAAAAGGCTTTGGGAGGAAAAAAGTCTTTTCATCCGATTATAGACTTTGGCGTCAGAAAAGCAGCATGGTGTAGAATGACCAGTTTAAAAACAAATCTTACATAAGTTCTGAATCATCTGTCTTTTCACTGTGATGGGTAGCATTTCAGGGCTGATTCTGAGATATTTCTAGCTGCTGAAGGAATTAAAGTCCATGTACACTGGCTGGGAGCCTGTTCTGTTGTGTTTGTAAACCTGGAATCAACAATGCAGTTGTGCTTGTTGTGATATTTCTAACACATCATGATTGCCAAGACCCACTCCTCCTTCAATATGTTTTGAACTTGGCCAGTTTCCGGTAGGTGAAGGTCCAGTCCTCAAGGTATGGCATAAATAAGAATAGCCCAAAAGGCAAGTCTTCAGATTTTAGGAAATGTAACCGTTTTTGTTTCTTAAAACTCATATTTTGTTAGAATGGAACAGAAATGCGTGCTGACAGTTTTTTAAAAAAACTCTTATGCCCTGGATTCAGCATCTGTCCCATGAAAAAGCCGTTTCTGTCAGGCTAACTGCTCCTGCCAAGATTTAGCATAGTCAAGGGTGCAGAGTCCAAGGCACACCCGTGAGGTGTGTTTATTCTTAGCATCCAGCATCTCTGGCTCTGCAGCATACTTCCCAGTGTCTGAGGCAGGATTGGGCATGGATTTGTAAAAATTGTTTCAGGATATTTTCAGTGAAATTTCCACAAGTCTTCTAGATATACATATAATTGATGTTGCCAGCATTTACGTTGCAGCAGCACTGAGGATTTGGAAACTTTTCAAGGTTTCAGGGCTCAGTCTTAGTGCTTACAATAAAATACTTTAGGCCTATTTGATGTGATTTTCATCTCTTAACTTAGTATGGTTGTATGGGTGGCCTCAGAGTTTTGTATGGGTTTTTTGTTTTTATTTCTAAAGAAATCAATTTTAGTTCTGTCAGAATGGCACAACAAAGATGTGGAGCAGCTGTGCTTCCCCTTCAGACGCAGGCTTCCTGGAATGGATCAAATAGATTTAGGAGCTGTGATGTCCTCCTTTGTAGTCCTGCCTTTTTTCAGCCAAAGCAAGATGCCAATGAGATTTCTCCTTCATTTTAGGAAAGGACAGCTGACACTTATAAACTAGTATGAATCCAATTAATGAATGGAAAGTCAGAGAAAGACTAGGGCTCTAATTTGTGAAGGTCTGCTGCCTTTCTCGCTTTATTTATGCGAAGGATCTTTGTAGGAGAAAGATATCACTTAGCTCTGGAGCAGCACAGAGGAAAATTAAATTTAGCTTTAGTGGGTAATGGCAGCTTGTGTCATTTTCAGTGTGGAACTTCATAAAACTTAGTGTATTCTGCTAAGCTCCATTAACACTGATTGTGCTGCTATCAAGTATTTTATAGTGGGGCACGGTTTGCAGTCCTCACGTGTTCTGCAAGGTGGCCCTGGAGACAGAGTTAGCTCCTCAAGTCTCTTGAAATGGGCCTTGAGCATCCTGGGTGTGGCAAGGGTTATGGTCTCTGGCCCCAGGCACCCAATTGAAGAATTGAGGGTAAGCAGCATGGTCATCTGTGACCCGATCGGTAATTATCAAGAACAACATGATTCAGGTTTTCAGAGAACTGCAACAGTTTCTTCTAGTTCATTTTTGAGGGGATGAGGAACTCAAGTCAGCAAGTCAGGAAAAAAGCAATGCAGAAATTGCTTTGCTGATTTCCTTCATTAGTCTTTTCAGAAAAAAAGAAATGTTATCTAGAAAGTATGGCATTCTTTATAATGAACCTTGGGGTTTCTTTGGCAAGACAGGGAATTTTCTGCCTTGCAAGACAAATCACAGGAGCAACACGTCCAATAAAGCATCCCTTTCCTGCCTCCACAATTCAAGAAGGCTTTAAGATACAAGATTTCAAGTGTTCTCTGGGCAGAGATGCAAACCAAAACACCATATCCAGCTGTTCAGGAGTAGTTGTGACTATTTTTCTCTGCATATTTCTTGGCTATACTGTTAATCAAGCTGGCATGCTCATACATAAGCTATTGTCATAACTTCTGACTTCTGAATTATTATTACTGGTAGGTTACCACTGTCTGCCTTTGACAGTCTGTCCATATGTGTAGCTGCAAAGATCTGTCTGAACAGAGAGGAGTTACACAGAAAAGTCATTCAGAAAAACCTGCAATAAAGGCTCCATTTTGCTCAGTTTGCAGTCAGTGATGTATCTCCCATTGAGTTTTGTGCATGCAGGAGGATCAGACTCAAAATAGATAGCATAATATCCCTTTTTCCATAAAGAATACATTTATCTGTGAGGAATTCAAGTGATTCGTGGAACAAGAAGCAGAGGACTGTTTTTTAAAGAGAATGAACCAAAGGTTTTTGTGAGCTGCCAGCTGCATGTGCAAAGTGTCATTAGACATTAAGAAAAAAAAAGTGAGAGGTTTTTGCGTGGAGTGTTTCATTAATCCCAGCTGCTCTGTTTGTAAGCACAGATTCCCCTTCCACTTTGTGCTTTTTAAGGCTGCTGGAAGCACTTTGGCCTTTCTAACAGCCACTGGCCTATGAAACCAAGCAGGGCATTGGAAGGGGACAGTGTGGTGCCTCCGGCAGGTAACTGCGGTCGGGCAGTTTGGCTGCTGTCAAAGGGAGAGGCACATAGATGACTGGGCAGCCAAGGGATTTATTCCCGTGCTTACCATACTAACTGCTTGTCTGTGTTCAGACCCACAGCTTGAGGACCAAGCCAGGATAGGGGACACTGGGTGCAACATGGGGCAGGGCTGTGTTTGAGCCTGAGGAGCAGTGGGTGCAGTGAAGGAACCTGAACCAAGCCCTGTTCCCAAAAGGAGAGGCAGCTCCACAGCACTTGGTGGTTTTCAGGAACCACTTTGGGAACTGCCTGTGATTTTTACCACCCACTCCTCCTGAACCACATTCAGTACCTTGCCATGTACCATCTTGTGCAGTACAGAGGTACCCGTAGGAGGCGGAGATAGCTTGGCCTTTCTGTACAACCCTCAGATTTCTTGTGAGCATGCAGAAGGCACGACTCAGGGCTCCCCATCTCAGAGCACTGAGATTATGTATTTCTGCCATAATAATAAATAACCAATAATTATTTCCACTCCTGTAACTTTCGTATTCTGTACATTCTTTCACCCAGATACGAGTTAGCTGGGGAAAAATTATTTGCTGTCTTGGAAACCTATATTCTTCAGAGGTAAAAATGTCCTTTCCTTATTATGGATCCAAACAAAATACCACTGAGTCAAGGAAAGAACTCCTTTTGGCTTCCAGACAGTGCTCATTAACAGGGTAAAAATGCCTGCTCCCCTCCTCCTCATTTTTCAAATAATACAATGGAAGCAACATAACAAACGAGGATTTGTATAAACAGATTTAGCAGCTTTCTACCTGCAGTGTTCTGACACAAGTGTCAAGGAGGAGCCACAGCACTACAGCTCGTTCTTGGCGTGTTTGGATGCAGGCAGAGTGGCATGTTCCAAAGCAGGGGAACACTTTTCCTTGTGCAGACACTCAGATGCTCAGAAGCTGACAATGTCACGTGAGTAAAAAGGGGATGGCATTTGCCCCTTAAGTGTCCCTCTGAGTTTTGCCTATTTAACTGCTGACCGGTGCAAGCAACTAAAGTGGTCAACATAGGTAGACTGTCCCAACTATTGAGACTGCAGGTCTGCATAGCCCTCCCCTGTCGGACAGCTGAAGTTAGAAAGGATGAATCATGTCCTTCGCTGTCTGTAGAAGCATTTCAAAGCAGGTGAAAAGGAACCTCAATGAAAATCTGTGCCACCTCTGACTCTTAAAATGTGTCAATAGAAGGGCATGCACAGTAGCATTGGCAGTGGGTTTTAGAAATAGAAATAGTTTTCAAAGACAAAACAGAGTTACATTTTCATAATTAGTACAGATATGTTATTTAAACCAGCTGAAGGCAAAACTGGCTTTCAGTTGAATCACCCTCTCTCACCTTATGTTTTCAAGAATGTTCATGTAAAATGTTTGCATTTATATAATGTTTATGGAGAACTTGCTCTGCATGCTACTTTGTGGTTTACCTTTGAAATAACTTGTGCATGGGTGGAAATTTCTATCCCCTTGTTTTAAACATTGAAATAATAGTGATGTGGTGAATGCTGGAAAGAAAAGCTGTGGTTTGTTGGTGAACGTGGGAGAGGAAGGCTGTGATTTGTGCCTGTGACGTGGGTCACTTCGTAGGAACCACAATGGGTTTATCAATGATACATGAACAGCAAATAGGGCCAAATTGGAAAAGTCTGCTATTTGCCATTAATAATTCAACCAAATCTGTTTCCACTAACTCACGTGTTGTGGTTTTTGTTTGTTTGTTTTTTTTTTCTTTTTTCTCTCCAGTCAGCAGCACAGTATCTAAACCCTGAGCTGCTGGAAAACGTCTACATGCAGTCTCCATCGTGTGGGCTAGTGTGCTGGGGAGGTGAGGTGGGGGACAGGACCTTCTGATAAAATCTTTTCACCAGGAAAGTCCTAATACAGTTTTTCCTTCTGTGAGAGAAAGAGCTCACCTATCAGTGTCACCGATTTTTTTTGCACCTCAGCGTCAGTCACGACAATTTTTTAACAAAACCATGTATTCTGCTCTGTGGCTTGTAGCTAGCCCATAGGTGACTGGATAATGAATGCCTAGCAACGGAATATTTTTTTCACAGTTCCTTGAACAAGGGCATGAGGGAAAACCTGCTTGGTTGTTGAAAGAATTTTCTCCAGCCGCTGAATAAGAAATCTGTATCACTCTCCTATCTGCCCCATTTGTAAAACGAACTCACATGAGATTTTCACCCTTTCATGATTAAGAAACTGTATAAATTCGAGGCCAGTCATTTTCTTTTATGGAACTGCCTTTAAAAATATATTCTTCCAAGTATAGCAGGAGGAAGAATGTGTTGCTTCTCACCCGTTTATTAATGTTGCACTCACCTTTGCCAGAGGTGCTTCAAGGGAGAGAGAGAGAGAGAGAGAAAAGATGATTAAAACAAAACAATTCTGCTGCCTCCTGGGAAGGTTCATCTGGTGCTCCATATAGCCCTTATAATACAGCACTGCTAATTGCATGAATCCTTAGCATGCTGCAGGAGCAATGCCAGTTTTAATGTGCAGAGTGAATTGATGTGACCAGTAGGATGGATTCATATTGATTTAACATCTTAAAAAAAAAACCTGACAGCAGCACAGGTTTCACTAGATCAGCTGTGCTGGTTTTTTTAAAACTAGATTATGTTGTCCATTTTTGTCTTCTCTGTGGTTTAATTTCTGTGATGAATTAGGAGAAAGGAAAATGCAATCTGCCTTTCTGCAGGACTGCTTTAGAGCCACTGCCAGTGAAAGGTTCTCTGTTAAGAGCAGTAAAGCACTTCAGAGACACCAAGTGTTCTTGAAATGCCATGTGTCAGCCCAAACCTGGACCTCCGTGTTAGAGCAGAGACATTTCCCACTTGAGCAGAAAGCAGTAGCTTCGTGAGCCAAGAGCTGGAGCACCTTGTCAACTCTCCCAGGAATTAGGCACTGGAGGAGAGGGATGCACATGCCTTGGGTCTGGCCAGCTTTGGGCCTGGCCAGCCAGGCCACAGCTCTGCTTCCGAGGGGTGCAGTAGTCCTTGTGGCTCCCTTCTGCTGCTCCAGCCTGATATTGCTTCCCTAGCTTTTCTTCTGTGGGCAGGGATACTCTCCTTGCACATGTTTGAACAGCAAGAAGGCAATCAGACTTTGTTCTGTGGGGTTCAAAATAATGGGTGGCACGCTGTCAAGTCACAAAAATAAAGGAATTACCATTGATCTTATTTTTACAATGCTCTGTCAAAGGCCTGTTTGACTAATAGTTGGTAACAAGGCAGAACTTGTTTGACAGAGTTAAAAAAAAAAAGGTCTGAATAACAAAGCATAAGTATGCATGTTAACCTCAGAGCAAGCAGTTGCTCATACTGCAGAGGGGAAGTTGGTTGTCTCCTGTTTCAGGAAGGAATGAGCTCATCTGAGTATCCAAGTACAGCACTCAGCAGTTTGCCATGGAACAGGTTTCCTCTGAAGCGGTGGGAGCTGACTGTGAGGCAAAACCAAGATCACGGTGATCCAGCTCCATTCAGCACGTGCGTTAGCTGGGGTTCACGTGGTGTCTCTGTCTTCCCTTTTGCAGCCATGGGACAAGGTGTGCGGGAGAGGTGTCTGCTGCTGCCAACAACAACATCTGCGGCGTGGGAGTTGCGTACAACTCCAAGGTGGCAGGTACGGTAGCAATTGAAGGTGTAAATGGTCCTTACACCACTGTGCCTCAGGCAGAACATCTCCTGGAGAGACAGGGAGTGTTGCCCAGGACAGGACTGCGAGTTGGCAGTGGGCCATGTGTTCATTACATTTCACAGTGGCTGGGGAGAGGAATTTCTCTATGGCTTTGCCTTTTCAATTTGAGGGCCTTATATAGCTGCTTTAATAACATTGCAAAGGAACAGCTCTGCTCCTTCTTATGCCATCTCCTGACTTTTCAGTGCTTCTTCCCTGAGTAGCTGCAGAATCATTTGTGACAAATCTCATTTTACAGGAGGTAATATATAAACTCCTGCTGCACTTAGAAACTGTTTGAAAAGGCAAATCCCATGCTGCTCTTACTTTTAGGCTCTCGCAGGGCAAGGCCTGCAGTGCTGTAAATCTCTGCAGTCATTTGTTTTCTCTTTTAACAAGCGATGCAGAGTTGTAGGAGCAGATGCACGGAATGAAATGGGTGGTGTCTAGCATCCAGCATTCACATCTCGGGTGTGTTGGGTATTTTTGCTTCTAACTAGCTCTTGTCTGCACTGGTAGACTGAATATAGTACTTGGAGTGAGTTAGGCTCTTGGACAGCTTGTATTGGTTTAGTTTAATCTGAAGAAATCCAATTTTCCCACTCTAAGACTGTTCCTTGATGAGAACCAAGGCACAGCAGGCAGAGATAGATGCTTATGAATTTCAGTTTTATTCCCTGATCCACACCAAAACACTAGTGTGGATGCGCCCATTGCTTCCTGGGAATGGTTCACAGTGTGTGTGCATGGGCAGCTCTGCTCTGCTTGGCCAGTCCCTGTGTCACCCCAATGTCAGAAGAATCTAGGAAGTCTACATTTCACCTATCACCTACACAACAGAAAGCTGGATCTCCACTGTAGAAGGGCACCAAGCAATGTTTGCTAAGCTGTTACGCCAAGAAATATCACTGAGAGTTAGTAACTGGCCAGGCAGGTCTAGTGCTTGTCCCCTTTCTTCAGTAATGGTAGTGTCCCCTTCAGGGGGACATTCACAAAATTTACATTCTGGCAATAGCTACTTTTAGAGGAATGTTAGCCATGGGGTTTGGTTGGACCTCATCTGTATTATTAGTATAACTCTACAACTTCAAGGTGGTTGCTTAAAAATCAAGAGGTGAAGGCCTTTCCTCATGACCAACAGCCTACAAATAACCTTCCATACTTGTCCACTTCGTAGCAAAATCCCCACAGATTTTAGGAAGTGCCCGCTTTTCCTGCCTGAGGACCGCGTGCAGCTGCAGCACCACCGTGTGGTCAGTGGGAACGTGGAAGTTGATTAATGCTGTGTGTGCTGCTGACATGATTCAAGGTCCATGTTTGTGGGTAGAATTGGAAGTTTGTAGCCAAGGACCAGGGACATCGTGTGTTTTACTTTTTGCTTTTTTTTTTTTTGCCCTAAAGTCAAACCAGATTGCTTGGCTTCTCCTGTTGTTCCCCCACCTTCCCGGGGTCAATAATTAATTCTGTGGTTTCAGTGCAGATCAGCATATGAAAGGATTTGTCACTCATTGACTTTAACTTCATCATTTCCAGCTTGTATTAGTCATCGTTTCCAGCTTTTGTATTAGCAGATCAGGAGTATCCAGCTTTGGTCTGGTTTCTATTTGAAGATTTATCTCTTCTTACAGCCTCACATTTGGCACGTGGATTTTGTATTAAATACAGTAAAAGCACTGGCTTCTAAATCAGGGTCCTCGCTGCTATTCACACTGTTTGGTTCTGTGGTATTGATTTCTGTCCCATCTGTGTTCTAAAACTGTTGGGAAAAACTGAACTTCAACTCAAGGCTACAGATGAGAGTGGGAACGTGTCCCTGGTTACTCAGGTCTCATCCAAAGGCCACCAAGAGGTTGACTATCAGTTCAACTGTCCTATGTGTGGGTCATGATGGATGTGAGGGCTTGTGCTGCTGTCTTGTCACACTCTCTGGCTTGCTTAGAGCCAATACTTTGAGATTTTATGAAACTGGCATATCCTAGGACTGTATCGTTTAAACTCTTGACTATTTCTACCACAGTGTGTGTTAAAGGAAGCAGGTTTTCGTTTGCTTTTTTTCTTCAGATACTGGCCATATTTTGCTATTGCGTCTGCATGTTGACACAATGATATCTTTCCAGGAAGTTGTTGCGTAGTGTTTTCCCCTCTCTGATTAAATTCTGGAGAAGAACCAAATAAAAAGAAAAATTGTCAATGCATCACTGAGTATAAATTAGAGATGGGGAGGCCTTAATTCCTTACCCCAGTTTTTATAAAATACTATTTAAATGCTGTCAATATTATTTAAATGTGATGAAATGCTGAGATTGTTGAATACTACTGTTTCAAAAGCATTTTCAAATAGTAGATGGAAAATACTATGTAGTTAGAAAGCTAACAATAACGTGCTTTCTCATTCTGGACCATGCTGTGTTGCTGTGGCTGGGTTTTTAAGTGCTGCCCTCCTGCTGGGTAAGCACACCCTGGTGAAATGTGAATGGTGAGTGCAGAATTACTGAGTGAGTGAAACTGCCAGTGAATTAAAATACCTGTAACTAGGGGACTTCTCCAGGTGCTGAGATTTCATCTTGTCCTGAGTAACACATAATTCATGTTTATGTTGATTAAATCTACAGGTATTCGAATGCTTGACCAGCCATTTATGACAGACATTATTGAGGCTTCTTCTATCAGTCATATGCCTCAAGTCATAGATATATATAGTGCCAGCTGGGGACCAACTGATAATGGAAAGACTGTGGATGGACCTAGAGAGCTAACACTGCAAGCGATGGCAGATGGTGTGAATAAGGTAACAGTCTTATTAAATAATCTGGGTACTGGGCTAGAATGATATGTACACACGCTGAAACCAGTGACTTGGGAATATACGGTCCTCCTGTGGATGTTGCAGAACACAATGCAACTGTGTAAACTATCCCAACTTTCAGCATTCCAGGTCCACTGATGTTCTCTCTGCACTCCCTGTCCATGGCAGGGGGGTTGGAACTAGATGATCTTTAAGGTCCCTTCCAAACCTAACCGTTCTATGATTCTATGATTGCTTTTATTGTATAGTCTTCAGGATACTGTGCTCACTTGCATGGAACTGTTTTTATCTCTAGTCAGGTTACATGTGCTTTTCATATGCCATTGCAGTCAGAATGGACTAGCTTGATCCTGTAAATATTCCCCAGGTTGAAACATGCCAGCTATATTACTGACATCACATTGTCTGTTTTGGTGTGCTGCCAATTTACTCATGTTTTGGATTTGTAGTGTCCTTCACATCACACATATAAGGTCATTATTACAGCTGTGGTTGAACCATGACTGTTCAGATGTCCATGGAGTAATACCATTCTTCAGTAGCAGGAGCCTCCTTGCTTATTCCCACATTTCCACCTTCTTCTAGGAGCAGTCTCTGGTCTTTGTTAAAGACACTCAATATCGTCCTGGAATCTTTTAAACCTATACTCTACTAGAAGGTTGGGTAAAACATGTGCCACAACTCAAAAAGAAAACAGATCAGTCCAAAACAAACAAACCAACCTTTCCTGGCTCTGTCTCCATCTCCCCAGTGTCATGCAGCCAGGACAACCACAGCTGTTCTGGTGCTGTAGGGAATGAGCCTCCTCCCCTTGGTTGATCATAGATGGGTTTTCATAATTAAAAGATCTGAAATTCTCCAGAACATCTGGGGTAGTTTTGTGTGGGAGCTCTGCAATTAGTCATTTTTCCATCCAAATTATTTCTTCCTCTTACTCGTGCCGGTTTCTCCCACTCTTCATCACCACCTTGCTGTGAGTAGCACATTTCGTTTACCATGTTTTGTGACATGATAAGTAAATCTACTGCTGTGGTAGGTAGTGAAGCATCTAAAGCTTTCTCAAATCCCGAGCCTCAAATGTTTTGTCTATAACAGATGAATTACAGTCATCTATAAATTCACAATGTACTGCAATAATGCAGGAAGACGTCACAAATTTCTCCTGAGTCTGCTCAGTTTTGTAGTATAAACCTTACAAAACTCTGAGGAACTCAAAGTCCCTCTGAAGTCATCTCACACAAGCTGTGTTTCTTCTCATGTCTTTCCTTCATTTTTCTAGTGTTTCCATAAACATCCCCTTAAATTCTCCTGTCGTGGGGAGAATCTTTTTTAGGTATGTGACACAGTTGATATAATTGTAGCAGCACCTTGATATCTTATAGTTAGTGGATACTTGTTCCTTCAACTAATGTTGGCTGGAGCAGATATAAACTCCGAATATAGAAAAATTCCCATATGATTTTTGTGTTATTCTCTTCCCATGCAGAAGTCATCTAAAAGTAACAGAAAAAGCACTAATAAACCTGGCAGGGGAGTGCAAACTAAATTAAACTAGAGATATTTTACCCTCTCCAGAGAAGCAGATTTTAAATTGTAGTCATGTTTTTTTGCAGTTTGTTATTTAGAGGATCTTTCAATTAATTTGCTATCTTACCACCATATGCTTTAGTTTGTGGAGTTATGCTGGAACTAACCTTCTCTTTGAATGTTAAGTATAGGAGAAGAGATTTTTCTTGTCTGTGTTTATTGTCTGGTCATAGTTCCCATACTTGGAAGTGCAGACTGTATTCCTTTTTTAATGCCTTACACTTAGAAGTATTTGTAATTCTCTTTAAGAAATAATTTGCAATATTAAGATCAGAAGGGGCCCTGAGATCTCTCGGGTTGAATGCTTGCAAAGGAGAGAGAACAGTGACTTGTACCTTATCAGAAAACATAAAATTAACAGGAGAGCCTGCATTAGGAAACCAGTTCTGTCAAACAACCATTGCAGAATCAGAGAGCAGAAGGAATTATATTGGATTCTACTGAAGAAAGATATTGTTGTCCAGGGACAACTACACTTAATTTTATAGTGGCAGTATCGCAGATATGTCTTGGCAATATGTGCATGAAAGAAGAGACAGCTCCACCCCAAATAACTCCCTTTGCATTGCGATCATAGCTTTATCTACTCTTATTTTGTTCATTACATTTCCTCTCATAGAGTGGATTTTTGGTTATAACTTGTTCTGATCTCTTTTTTGTGGAAAGACAGATTTTGTAAAGAAATTTCAAGATGTCCGTGGATGCTGGGTACTTTCCAGGTGCTTTGAAAAACCCACCACAGACTTTCCTGCATGTAAAGGAAGACTAACCAGCCTTTGATATAATAGCCTTTTACCTAGTTTAGGTCTATAATATATGCATAAAATTCTCTACTGACTGTACAAATGTAAATTAATTTATGAAAATTTTTCAGTATAAAGCCCCCTCTTATTAAAGTATCTTTTCTAAACCAACAGAGAAATAAATGTGGGAATTCTTCTCAGTCTAAAGCTGATTCTCACCAGAGTGATGGTTCATGAATTAGTGATGAAGCTGGTACATTGGCAGGGAGGAAGCAACATGCTGGGAATAAAAATGTGTCATTAAACTAAAAGCAATACTTTCAAATGTCCTAGAAGGAAGTATAGGATCTCTTGCACAGAGCAAGACTAATATCCTTACTTTTAATGAAATAAACTAGAAATAAATAAATGGGGGTGATACAAAATTCTTAGAGGGAATATGCAGTTAACTGAGTTGACAAACACAGGTAACATTTACTTTGTTGGCACCACACTTGTGAACCTATCTTAAGGAGAAACTCACTGACAAGAGTTTCGTCCTTCCACTGTCATGTCCTTTTGAAGTTGTCCTTCCAGAGCTGCTGGGATGCTGGTGATAAATAATCACCTGATAATGGTAAGATGATGAAGACTAAAGAAACGGTGAGACTTCTTGTTTATATGTCTGTTTTTGTGGCTTGAAGCTGTGCAGCCATAACCAGCTGGGCTAAGGCTGCCTGTCCTCTTACCTTTCATCTTCCATTTCCCATTCTTGGCATTTGTTAAGCTAATTCTTGCCTTCTGTCTTAATCATACCTTCACTTTGGTGTGCTGTTCCCTTATAAGGTAAATACCATGAATAAAAGCGGCACTAAAATAGCATAATTAAGGACAGCAGAATCTGTCCATCACACTGGCAGCTCTTTATGTACTCTTACTAACTGCATTTCTAAGGCTGAACACAAAGAGCATGGCGTGTGACTTGGTGTCAGCATAATACATGTAATCAGAAGGTATTGGGGAAGGGACTCAAGCTGCTTTTTGTTATTAAGAGATGATCCCGCTCATTTTTAGTGAAATCTATGCTTCACTGTTGTTATCTCATGACTTTTGTTCAGGGGCAGTAGTCAGCAGCGTGACTGGGTCACTGAATAGTAGTAGTTGCACTGCAAAGATAAATGAGGTCACAGCTGAATTAGCAGGTGCTTGAGAATAGGGTTTGAAAGAGTTTCATAAGCACAAACATCCACAAGAGTTTGGCAATTACCAGCACTGGTTTGACACAGATGAACAATCTCACCTAATGCAAATTCCAGCTGCTAGAAAACACATATTTGGGACATAATTGGAAAGGACTTAATACAATTTCTAGATTTTAAAGACTAGGTTGAAACATGTGAGTATCCAGTATTTGCCTAATGAGGAGGTCTTGCACTCGCCCTTGGCTGTGAGACACCTGGTGCTGGCTGCCAGCTGTAACAGGAGACTGTGCTAGACTGCACTCAAGTCAGGTATCCATTAGGGTGGTCTGCAACAGGCTAAGAGACAAATGCTGTTCTGTTTGGTGAAAGACAGATCCAGAGAATGCGCTCTGTTGTGCTTGCTCTCTCTTTCTTTGAACACACTTGCCAGGGGCAAAAAAATGGATATCCTTAATGACATTTTAGTATGTGGTCTCTAGACTCTGTCTGAGCCACATACGTGATCAGCAGCAGGTTATGGGTTCCAGGGAGAAAAGGTATATGTTTCTTTACAGTCTCAGTAAATGACCAACCTAACATTGTTCTGGGCTGTCCTGGGATATCTTAGCCGTGCACTAAGACCAGGATGCTCATATGCGAAGTTTCATTGCTCCTCATCACTCTGTCACATATTTGGAGATATATTTCTCTGATGACCTATGGAGAGATTTTACTGCAGGTGCAGAAATACAAACTAAAATTCAGAGCAGAGCAAAAAACAAGGATGATGGACTTGGGAACAAGCAGCCTGGCAGTGTGGAGCACAGCTAGCTATCTCATCTGATTAAGAGATATTGTCATTTGAGAGAAGCGGGGAGTGAGACAGTAGTAGCATTTTATACGTATTATGGCTGGACAAAGCAATGCTGTGTGATTTACATATTCCTTGTCTGACCTGTGCTTACCCACTTTGGGGGCCAGACAGTTTTGAGAGGGAGGTAGGGATGGTAGATGGGATTCTTGTGACAGCACAACTCTCTTAAATATAGACTTTTTATTCTCTGGTACCTTGCATCCAGGGTTGTATCAGCAGTTGTCTTAAGCAGAAAAAGGTAACTAGCTCAATTTTACCCGTGTTTTATGATACATCCTGTCTTTAATGCAGTATCCCGTAAACATTTCTAATTTGCTGTTTCATGAGTCCAGTTCTTTCCAGCTTCAGCTACTGGAATTTAAGGCAGTAAAAAGAAGTAATCAAGCTAAGCTGGTCTCTGTCTATTGCATTTTTATGATGTAGGCTTTTATATTCGTAAGTTGTGAGGAGTTGCTTATGGACTGAATTAATTTCTTGAGACTTCGCCAACTCAGACAGAATATATAAGACATGATCCATTTGTGCTTGTGCTGGTGAAGAGCGTTATTGCTTCCGTAATATGGTTCTACCTAAGAAAATGCTGCACAAGTACAAATTGCCAGGGGAGCAGTATTAAGA